GAATGTCTTTAAAAAATATATTGCAATTTGTAATTTAAAGAAAAATATAAATTTTTCATATAACATGAATTAAATAGTGGATCTACAAGGGATCTAGTTCATTAATTCTTCTTTTAGCAATCCAAACTTTTATTTATTTATTTAATAGTTTATTACAGGAAAATTACAATAAGTTACATTGAATACAAGGAAAATAAAAGGTTCTGGTTATTTTTAATAGAAATTTCTTATAACTAAAAGAATAATACGTGCACAACGAAACAAAAAAAAATGTAATATAAAAATAATATAACAATATTAAATTGTTATAAATTATATAAATACTTAGATAAATACATATTTTATACTATAATACCTAAGATATGGATGGAAATTAAAAAATTAAGATTTGAGATTGAGAATAGAAACCGGAATTAAAGCGCTATTAGTAAAGATTTTATTTATTACCAATTACATTACCTACACATCATTAATTTTTTTACATTTTGCATTTCATATAACATTTTCACACATTTATTAATATAATTTTGCTTTACAAACAAAATGTTTGAAGTGTATTGAATATCACGATGTTTTACTATCATAATATTCGGTTAATTTTATGAAATTACTCCACTAGTTTGGTATAAACTTAGCATCAATCACGGTACAGCGAGGTCGCTAGTTAAGGTCCAGCCGGATTGAAGGAATTTTTCGTTGTGTTCGAGCTTTGTATTAACATGTTTCTAGCTTGTTTTTTTTCCTGTTAATAGTTACTTTTCTTATTCAATAAAAAAAAAGGAAAGTGTTTTTCGCTTGCTCAGGTTTCAATACAAGCACTCGCGTCAAACAACAACTTTGCAGCCATGTATAACAAATAGCTATTATACTTGTGAAGTTCGTGTAGTAAACACTTAGAAAAAAATTCCTTCGTTCCGGCCGGATTCAAACCGACGTCTTCTAACATACCGTCCCAGACGCTATACCAACTAAGCCACGGAACGAACCAGCGTACCTCACGAATTTTTCTATGTGTTTGTTGTCGTGTGAAAAACCAAATACGTTTGTATTTGGTTTTTCAACGACTTTTTAACCGTAGCGTCATCTATGAGAAATCTACGATGCTTTTTGTTATTGTTGTTATTACTTTTTTTATTTGATTTAAATTCATGCTCTCAATTGCACTGTTGCAAATAGCAAATGGTCTTTACAAGTAAATGTTTGATACATTTAACTTTAAGTTGCATGCATTCCTAACATTGTAACAATGTATTTAAACGTCGGAAAATCTTAAATAAATTACTAAAACGACCACATCACCTTAATAGATACGACTCGTGGAATATGACGCCACATAAAAGTAAAGTGGTACAACCGTTACAGGAACAAGCACAAAGGCTCATTATCATTAGGAAATCCTTCACGACATTATACGTGAACGTAGAGTAGACAGTAGCAAAACGACAACTCATTTGTTATTAAACTGCCCATTTAGCACATGCTTAATCTTTACACGATTGTGGGAATGGTAAGACTGGTTACAATTTTTTTTCAACTTTACATTTATTTAGGGGCTTTGATCTTTTTTTTATTTTTTATAATATCAAGTGGTAGGACGAACAAGTCGTGCGCCTGATGGTAAGGTACACGCCTATCCATAACAGTTGCAGTGTCTCTCAGAGCTTTACATCGCTAAGATATGCGGGGCACTGCCACTGCGTCCGTCACCCTAAGTTGACAAGTCTCATGTGCCTGTAATTTGACCAGCACTTTACATTACTGCTTGGCGGCAGAAATAGGTACGGTGGCAGTACCTCCCTCGACGAACTCTTTCACAAGGAGCTCTAGTTTTACTAAAATTCTAATCATTATTGAACATGTCAGCCCCATAGAAAAACAATACATCATGAAAACACTTCATAAAGTCCAAACAGATAAATCAAAATACTACCTAACCATACATATATACAAAATCTTCGCTATACTACATGTTGGCTCCGACAAAACGATTGAAACTACTCAGTATTAAATATATGGAAACCAACCTGCACAAATTACCGTACTCTGGGTCCCTGATAGGTTCCTTCCGAACCCATTCCACGAGCAGATGTTGTGTATCTTGAGGAATTGAAACTAGATATACTGATTTTGGCCTTCTTAATGTGGTGAATTTGGCAAATTTTATTTTCAGCCTAATTTACAATCGGTTTAAGCTTAATTTCGAGGGGCACCTTTAATCCGAACCCAAGCGCGAAAAATTTCGCGCTTCTTCCTATTTAGCTAACTTGTTTCTAATATCAAAATGTCGGTGAAAAGCTTTTCTACATAATTACGTCAGTTGTAAGCTGGCCAGAAATATAGAATAGTGCGATTTATACTCTAATGTAATGGTTTTTAACTGGTTTACACTGGTTTTTACTGGTAACAAATTTTACTGTAAAATATTACATTAGTAGAAAGTATAATATAATAACTTATATTTGTTAATATTTTGGTTATTTGAAGAATACCTAGACTTATTAGATAAGTTTTCGATCGTCTTTCGAATATCATTATGCTAGTTTTGCTGAAGAGGCCTGGATACAAGAGAGACAAAAAACTGAAACAAATTCCTTAATTTCCATTAATAACGTCTAAGCATTGCATGCATTTAGATTTGATTTGGACAAAAAGAGACGAATAAATACACCGAAAGTTGCAAAGATGCTTACTCTACAAAATCACCGTATTCACATTACACGCAAGGACTGAACACAGTGCAATATGATATAAATAGTACAGACGATCCCGTACGATATCCCGTTTATTTGGTTCTGAGTAGATTAATGTCAAGAAAGGTTTTAAACAAAACAGCATTTAACCAGTGAGCCGTAAAATTAATTTAGTAGCAGTAGAGCTCCTTGTAAAAGAGAGAATATAATATATTAAGATTATCATTTTATAAGTTTGAAACTTACATTAAAAGTATTTTAATTGAAAAGTCATATTACAAAATTGAAGACTATGTTTTAGATAAAGAAGTACGGAAAGACAACAAAAGTTTAGATTCCACACAATTATGAGTCAAAGTGTATTCCATAGCATTTAAGTTTATTTGAAAAGAGCAATGCCTAGAGTTTCTTGCTCGTTCTTCTCAGGGAGGTCAGCGTAGTGAACGAGCAGTAGTTTAAAAAGTAGCTTAGAAAATGACGTTTTCAAGTGTAAAAATATTTACCTATGGAATAAATGATTATTTGACTTTGACTTGTTCGTCTAAGGTAGTACTGCCACCTTACCTATTTCTGCCGCCAAGCAGTAATGTCAGCATTACTGTGTTCCGGTTTTGAAGGGTAAGGGTGCTAGTGAAATTACAGGCACATGGGACTTGTCAACTTACGTGTCATGGGGGCGAGCGCAGTGGCAGTACCCTTCAGATCTTTGCAATTTAAAGCTCTGAGTGGCACTGTAACTGTTATGGACAGGCGTGTAGCTTACCATCAGACGCACGACTTGTTCGTCCCGTCACTTGAAGTTGTACAAAAAAAATAAATTGGTATGACTTCATTATTACAGCTTTAGTGAATGGCGTTTTAACAGACTTTTTAAGCCGATATGATTTTTAATTGAATTAAATAAATACAAATTTCAGGTATCTCAAGGCATTAACTGTGCGTGAATACGAATGCCTTGTGAAATGTGACAAACAAGACTCAATTTTGCATTTGCTTCCTAGTACTAATTTACTTATACTATTACTACACTCTGTGTAACATCACTAGTTTAACCATATTACACGTAAAAACAATGGGTAATAAGTAAGGGATACGATGATTGCAGTTCCAAGTTTCTACGTATTTATTCCCTAATGTAAACATAAAAAAATACACCGTTGAAAGCTACAACACGCTGTACAAGACTACCTTTTACATTACATATAAGCAGAGTGCAATATGTAAGCAATACAAGTGCTTTTAGTGCGTGCGATGCTTCACACCTGTGCCGGTGACAAATGAGCACTAGAGCAAAAATCGCGGTGCCTCCTTCGCCGCCGCCGCTTGAATTAATTCGTCTGACGGTGTCTCTTAGGGCGTCATCCTCGGAAATAGGGCTTGAAAACTTATAGACATGGCAGATTGTAATTCAACCTATAATTACCTAATTCATAAAATGTGCGTTTTGCAGTAATTAAATTTTAAAAATATGGGTATATTGTATTTATTATTTAATTATGAAAAAATGTAGAGTCGTACAAAACGCCATAAAATCGTAAATAAATAGTACTTGGTACTAAATGAGTTGACATTGATGACAGAAAAGCAAGAAATTTCACAGGGGGCTCGAATAAAAAAAAATATTTTCAAATATTTCAAAAGTGTTATGTTTTTTTGTTTGTATGTTAACAAATAATACTTTATTTTGTGTGCCGATATCGAAAAGGTTGACTTCTACTTTAGAAATGATGTTGGTGGCGGGTTATAGTTCTCCGCGGGCCGTAATTTGGTAGCACTATTTTGATTTCATGATAGGTCGACATTCTTTCTCTCTCAAATGGTACGTCATAGTCTCTATTCGAAATCTTTCAATCGTAAAAAAACCTCTTTCAAAAAAATATAAGACTGATGAATTTCATAACTGTGGAGAAACTAAATTATTATTATTATTATAACAGTGTTCTGTCCTAATCTAGTATAGCACATCCCTCGTAGCAGGCACTTAGCTGGTCGGTGGTGGCCGCCGGCACTCTGATTTATGTCCCGGCGCGCGAGTCGCGACAATTTATTTCAATTAACGCGCTCCGCCCTGCGGCAATGCCGATGTCGCTCCATCGCGATGCTACCACTCTATTACTATTCAAACACCTAATTTGTCGCGCGCCCTTCGTGGATGAAGGATTATACGATCTAAATGATTAGTGGATTTGGTGGACAGATTTGTTACTTGAGTTTGTAAATTGTATTGTGTGAGATTTTATGTAATGCTTACGTAGGCGTAGCTGTGGCTCGTATACATTATTTTAGGGTATTTTTACGAAATAAAAACAAAAAACTCTTCAAACCTGGTTGTAGTTGGGTGTATTGATAAACAAAGAATGCAAAAATCAAATGCAATAATATATGACAGTGTTTAATTAATGGATACTTTGCGGAAGTTCATGTTATTTCCTACTTCGCGATCACAAGATTAACTGCGTGAAAAAATATTAACACAAGCGCAGCTATTTTGCACGATTTAACCTTTATAGCTTCGCGGAGTAGCAAATTAATTTACTTCCACTTTTATGACAGTATTCAAACAAGTTTACTTCGATGTTGATATACAATTTATATACATATACTTGTCATTACTATGCACAAGATTCTTCTAACAGTTGTTTGGCTATAATAAAATATTCTTAGGAATAGTAACTCGTTTCATTATAGTGGTAGGCAAGTTGTTAATTGGGTTTGCAGATTTCATAATTATTAAGAACAAAAGCTGTTAAAATTATCTAGTATGAAGGATTCATATCCTGTAAGGAATCTTGGCTAGCCGATTTAATGAAAAAAGGAATTACAGCCTTTTTTTATAGTTTGAAAATGACGCCGTGAAATTATACAAATGTATGTAAAGTATTACAAATTCTTTCGGGTGCTAGATATAATTTTTTTTAAAAACAATTAATACAATATTGTTAAGCTATTAGTTCTGTAATGAATTCCTTACTTTCAGTACGTCAACGTAGCTACCGTTAGGAATCTAGAAAATGTTGATTTGCTCCTGACAGTATGAGCGACATGCCTGACTTTTCGTTTACACTCTAAGGCATCCTCAAGATGTTTCACACAACTCATTACCTAACCTTGCTATAATTTATTAATATCTTTAGAATAAACAATGAATTATAGAAAAAATCGCTTTAATAACAGAAATTGTCATTGCGTGGTATTTTTTAAATAAACGCTTGGATCTGCAGAAGTTTTGTCGCCAGGCAAGTTAGCGAGGTTGTATATAATTTGTTCGTAAATGTCAATTCCTGCGAGGAAGGTTTTGGCACTAAGTCTTTCATCGACGGCATGAAGAAGTAGCTCCGTGTTGGGCATAGGAGAGAAACCGAAAGCTGGAATGCCAGATAAGCGGGTGAAGCGAGCGTCAGTCGAGCCCGGAGGTACGATAGGTGCCACGGTTAAATTCCTGGATAAAAAAAGGATATTTTTGTTAAAAACAATACAGAATTTGTTTATATCTCATAATAGCTAACAAATATTATTGTAGCATTTTGTATAATGTATATCTATATTAAAACATTGAAACAGGATTGTAGCAAGACTAGGTTTGCAAACCTGTGTTGTTGATCACCAGGCCTTGAACCCTCGTAAGTGGTAGTAAAATTCTATATACATACATAAAACAGGTAGGAATAATGCTTTAAAAGAATTTATTAAATGGAAGCTAGCGTGTGTGCTTATCAAATTATTTGCTCATGTTTTAGTGTTTTACTCACTTGGCAGTAGTGGCTTCAGTGATAGCAGTCCAGAAAGGATTGTCAGCGGTAACTACAGTGGCCGGTGACTGTGGGTCTTTTTGTAGATAGGTCAATGTTATATTGTCACCTGCTTGCTGTATCGACTCCCTTAGCTAAATAGAAATAATTAAAAACAGTAACTGATTGATGTCATAAAATTTTATACAAGGCTACAGGTAGAGCAAAAGTATTTGGAATTTAATAGTCACTTTAAATAATTGTTGAAAATCTTGATAGATATATATTTTCATTGATAATTATAAGATAGAAAATACTTTTTTATTATTAATGGCCTTTGCCTTTACCTTTGCCTTCGCATTTAGCCAATGAAAGTGTTGGGAAAGCAGAATTACAGATTGTGGAAAAGGTACGGAATTTGAATGAAAAATGATATGATAAGTTAGGTACATGAGAGCTATTAAGGTAGATATCGGCGTACATATTAAAGCTTATAACAAGTAAGCTTGATACTATCAGTTTCGATAAATAACGTCAGTACATTATATATGAATAGAATAGAAATAGAAATCCCATGACCATGCAGGGTCAGATACAATAAGTTATAAAATAAGTTTGAACAGATGCGCTGGAGTTGCCACGTGACTAAGTCGTAGCCCACAAATAATAGAGGTAGTTTGTTTGTCAAAGTATTGAGAAAACGATATGGTTTGTGACTTTATAAGACTGCCATTTGACGAGTTTGGATACGTCTCTGATACAAATACATGCCACGGCATTGCTAGCGGTAGTATTTTATTGTTCCCATTAATTTTACAAATATCAAGAAATATTTTTACTATCCTGATAATTATCATTTCGATCTCTGCTTTAAATATATTACTAACGTGTAGTAAAAATGTTATATGTCTATAGCACTTTTGCTGCGAATCTTGGCAATATCCTATTTTTGCATAAATTAATATTATAATGTGCCAGATAACGACATCAATTACCTGGTCTCAAACTAAGGAATTCCCTGTACCATGAATCCTAGAGTCCCAAAATCACACTACGGCGCAACCCATAACCACCACCAATTTTGAAAAATTAATTTCCTGCCGAAAATCGAACTCCTTATCCAGTGCCCCAACGTACAAAGAGTTGGGCCATCAAAGTAATCAAAAATATATAGTCAATTAAACAGCTAACTTTGGATTGTACAAAAGGTCGATAAAATTACAAAATTAACTATCTACATGTTCAAACACCATGTCGCATTATAGTGAGGTTTTATATATATAAGTTGCGTCTACATTAGTTGTACATCGTACTTGTAAATGAGCAGAAAGACCTTCCACATTAAAGTAGTTTAATTAAAATTTTTAATATGTGATTACATAAATCGGCCTAAAAGTTTTTTCTAATTCTAGGAAAAATCGTAATGCACATTTGAATTTACTATTTTAATCATGTTTTTGGGAGTGTTCATTATGAACGCAAGGCCAAGGTCACGTGAGTCCATTATACGGTTTTTAATACGCGAGTAGCATGTAAGCATTTTGTTGAATACAGAGTGTCCCACGGCTATACGACGAGGTATCGCAATGACTATATCATTGCAAAGATTTTAAAGTTGCTTGGCTCGTTTAGGAATCTTTTTTTTTATATATAACATCAAGTAACGGGACGAACAAGTCGTGCGCTTGATGGTAAGCTACACACCTGTCCATGACAGTTACAGCGCCACTCAGTTACAGAGAGACTGCCACTGCGCCCGTCACCCTTAGACATAAGTTGACAAGTCCCATGTGCCTGCAATTTCACCAACACTCGTACCCTTCAAAACCGGAACATAGAAAATGCTGACATTACTGCTTGGCGGCAGAAATAGGTAAAGTGCCAGTACTACCCTGGAGGAACTCTTTCACAAGGAGCTCAACTGCTACTAAATCGAATCAACTAAAAGCGAAAAAAGCATTGTGTATTTTTTTGCTGCCGATCGAAATGGTCAATTATAAAGATTGATTCCTTTTAAGTACCCTATGTACAATATTTAAATTACTTTTCCTCGGTGTCGCATAGCCGTGATATACTCGTATATTTGACAATTGAATCGAGTTCATTGAACAAAATAATAAATGGAGGCACCACGCGTACTATGACATTATTCGAGAATGCAATTGAAAATTTATACTGAACCTGGCATACTTACTCTGTATTGAATTTTCTAATGCTTTCTCGTTGGGAAAAAATAATTAGTAATAGTCAAAATAAACCATACCTGAGCGTCAAACTGTACTTCGTTGACATCGGTTGCCAGTCTGATATCGAAGATAAGAGAAATAAGTTGAGGAATTACATTGTTGGCAGTACCACCCTGAAATATACGCATGTGTCAATGTTTTTTATAATAAGAAATGAAAATGCTACAGTTATACTAAACTCTAATAAGGTGGAAAGTATGTAATGGAAATCGAGTTGACGTGGTGAGAACGAACTGCAGGCGGGATTTTAATCGTCAGTACTTGACAACAACTCTCGAGATTATGATTTTGAATGATCCACCGTCCATCAATGCTGTTCTTAAATGTGTTGTGAATTATTTTTTCTTCATTCAAAACGTAGGGCGAAGTTAATTTCATGGTACCTCCAAATACAACTACTTATATTCTTCTGGACGTCTCAACTGTGACGTTCATATGTATTTATGAGGTCCTAGTCCCAGTCCTTAGTGTCTGACACACACTACTTATATTTATGTAGCATATTCTTACAGTGAAAAGAACTACAATTGGAACTTTTAACAAAAATGGTAGAATTTGTAAATATCCATACGTTAGATTAAAAAATACGGTAAAAATGCTATTACACAGTAAGCACTTGCGATTTTATTTGTCTATTTTTGAAAAAAAGCATTCATTATTTACAAAAATGCCACAGTAACATGATGTAGAAAAATATATTTACACCTACAGAACATGTCATATAAAGTTGTATTTCATGTAATTAACAATTGTGTGGTCAGGTTGAATTTCCGAAGTCATCATTTTCTTATATCGCTCACAGATCAATTTACTTCCATGATATCGCCCATTAAAATATACATATATGTTTTAGGTAGGTGGCGCTTGAATCGCTTCGTATTGTATTTTGACACTACATTACCTAGAAGACAATGTCAAATCAATAAGTGAATGTTAACTTACGCTTATTATGTTAAGATTGACGGACGTGAAGCTCCCAGCATTGGTGATACCAGATTTTAGCGACACCTGGTATTCTTCCTCTCGTAACGCCAGCAATTTAGTCATTACATTATAACACTGCAATCATACACAACATTTATAAATATATTAAGTGCATTAAGTCATGGTTAAGTTTTTTTTTATGCCTTTACATCATAGTCATAAAAATCCTTTAAAACGGCTTATTGCCAGTTGTTGCCAGTGGTGATTTCCATTGGTGACAAATGGGGAAAAAACCCATATGTTATGGTTATATCGACAACTATTCAGAAAGTCTGGACGCTATAAACATAAAACAACAGTTAAACTCGAATTTTATTTTATTCCCTTCTGATGCCGGCAATAAACAAACATAAATTGTGATTTTTTTATTCCATTTGTTTTTTTAACACCAGCAACTACTGGGATATCTTAAATTCCATTTGTCGCCAGTGGCAACAACAGATATTTTTATCCCATCTGACACCACCTGGCAACATATGGGTTTTCTTCCCATTTGTCGCCAGTGGGAACAAAGCCAGGGGTGACCACTGGGAATAAGCTCATGTATAGTAAAAAAACGAATTATAGCTTTTCAATAGACACTGTCGAAATTTGTAAAATGTTAATGACCTGTTTTTAACGTCTTGTACGAGCAATAAACTTACAAAAGTCCATTTTTTTTATAAACGGCAACACTGGTCCTGAAAGATTTTTAGCAGCAGTAGAGTTCCTTGTGAAAGAGTTCATCCAATGAAGTATTGTCACCTTACCTAATTCTGCTGTCACGCAGTAATGTGAGCATTACTGCGTTCCGGTTTTGAAGGGTAAGTGTGCTGGTGAAATTATAGGATTTGTCAACTTATGTATGTATCAGGGTGACGGGTGCCCATTAGATCTTTGCGATTAAAAGCTCTGAGTGGCAATGTAACTGACACGGACAGGCGTTCCGCTTACCATACCTGGCGTACAACTTATTCGTTCCGCCACTTGGTATCATAAAAAAATTATAAAATAATAAGAAAATTCAAAAGTACACATACTTTCCCAATAGCTGTGGTGTTTAAGGCCGGCAATGTAGAGCCATGCGCGGCAGAGCCATGACAATCCACGCGGATTTCTGTAATAATAACTTCGGCATGTACTTATGATCATTTTAAATTTGCAAAAGCAGCAGGCAAAAAATCTAAACGGTAATATTTTTTAATGATTGATTCTCTTTCTCTGAGACATAAAATAAATTAATCTGTTATGAGCTACGCAAAAAATATTGATTTGTATAAATTAACTTTGATAGTTTTATGTTGGGCCTTAAAATAAAGACAAGTGAGCATTAAAATTAAATTTAGATACTTATTTTTAAAACTAAGTAAATGTTGATTATATTTGTATACTAATACGAGTATTATGTTAATTATAATATAATTTGACCTGTAAATATGTTCGGAAACGCAAGCAAATTGCCTTCTGGCTGCTTTGTCATATACTAACCTAACCTAACCAACTGAATGGAAGGCACAATCACAATCAAGATTTATTAGGAGATCAATATCAAAAGATATACTGGTGATTACTGGTTATAAATCAATATCAATATCAAGATCAATAGTTAAAAGAAAAGACCAATGATAAAAAAAGAGGATCAAATATTGTTTTTGAATACCAAACATTCATTTAGGTAGATAAGTAATGCTAACGGTCATAATTTTACAAAAAATATTACAGATTTGAAAGCATGAAGTCTAGAAGTAGAGTTCAAAACATCATAGTACTTTATAGATTTCAGCTAACATATCTGCGGTGATACAAAAATAACACTTACGCCACACAGCCTTATCCTGGTAGAAAACAGGACTAAAAGGCAAGTTGTACGAAGATCCCTCGTCCATTTCCACAGCAACGTTCATTGATTTGAACTCTTCACTCGCCAAGAACGGAATCATGCCATGCTTCCCACCCGTCTCTTCGTCTTTAGAAACAAAGGCAATTATTAAAATCCTTTCTTTGATTGTTTATTTATTTATGTCCCTACATTATCTATTTTACGAGTTTATTATGGAATACAAACTTAATAGAAAATTATTTATTTCCGTATCATTTGTTCTTAAGCGCTCAAATTTCGATTACTTGTCAACAATGTTTATCAATATAAAATATATGTCATATACATGCAATTTCGAGGTCAACTCTATTGTACTTATTAATACCATAGATATAATTGATACCGGAAACAATGTATATTCCAGTATCGGTACTGAATGACGGTTTGTTCCCTGCAATTAAGGTGCCTACAAATGTTTTTAACATTGTATTTTATTTATTTTTTATTACTCATTTATTGCACAGGAAAACACAAATCACATTTAGTAAGACAGAAAACACAACAAAGTGTACTGCTTATTTCTAAAAGAAATTTCTTCCTGCTGACCAAAATACAGGACACAATAATTACGAGAACGGGTTTAGGTGCACAACAAAACAAAATTAATGTAATATGTGCTCTCGAGGCAACAAGTATCCTATGTTTATTTTAATGATTTTCGTTATTAGAGAAGGTGCAATGAATAAATAATAAACAGTTGTATTGCCATTTTAAAATCGCGTTGTCTTGAAAAATTGTAGTACTGGACATTTCATGGTATAATTGGACATACAGCAGATAATAATCTGACAGGGTCATTAGTATTATTATGTCATCGATCATAGTTCGACTCATTTATAGTAAAAACATTAAAAACACATAAAAGTATATGTATATGGTCCTTCATACTTTATTACTTAATTTTCTGAAACGAATGCAAAGGAACTTAATCATTATTTAATAATCCCTGGATTAGCAAGTTACCATTTAATACCACTTAAGTACATGTGACCCAAATTATTGGACATACATCAGTATTATCTGACAGGGCAATTAGTACATTATTACTTTGGATAAAGTGAAAAAGCATACACTTACCTGGCATAAGTGTCATGTAAACGTCTCTCAGCAATGTAATATTTTTTGCTTTCAATCTCTTCAGCGCTATATAATACTGTATCCCAACAGATTTCATATCTTGTGTGCCACGACCCCAAATTACGCCCTCACTATCGAGATAGCCCGAAAATGGGGGATTTGTCCAACCATCCTGCATAAAAATTAAATAAACCTTATCTACATAATCTATACATCTACTGACACTACTATATCTACTAATATTTAATGCAAAACGTAAAAAATATAATGCACTACTTGTTTAAAAAAATACATAATAAAAAATAGCCATGTTAAACTATCAATAGGTTAAAAAATAGATGACAAGTACCTAAACGTTACATAAGTAATCTTTACTACTTTATAATGAAAGCCAAAAAGATGTAACGAAATGTCTATCACCAGATTTTAGTCGACATACACCGTGCAATTTTTATTACCCCAGTCAATTTACGGGCTCATTCAGACATTGTTTTATATTCAAATAGATTATAAAAAATGTTTAGTCCTGTTTCAAAAATATGTCTATGCCCTTAGCTATGCGCTACACCAAGAGATGACGTAGATTAATAAAACATGATGATAATGCATGATAGTGATGAATGAAATAGTTTAAAACTTGCATAGAAGCGCAAGCTGACAACACCTTACATATCTCAGCTTAAGAATGAAATTATTGGAGGTTAAATATGGGAGCGTATAATATCTGACTGGTATGTTTGTGCATGTTGCAAATGTACCTACCTATAACTACCTGCTATATTGGAGAGAATGAACTTTGTAAAAAGTGACCAGTATTAAACGAGCCTCTAATAGTAACGGTTGTTTCCTTTAAACATAGCATTTTGACGCCGAGGATTTCATTTTTCGCACGCGTGATACGTAATTATGGCTTCATCATCAGTGTTTGGCGATATAAGTGTATTCGACCACACTAGTCATCAATGGGAAATGTTTTAAAGTCGGTTTAAACAGTTTCTAAAGCTAAATTGCGGTACGTTTAAGTATAACGCGCAGAAAAGTGCACGTTTGTTAACGCATTTAGCAGACGATAGCTACCGTCTGGCGCGTAATTTAGTGCATCCTAAGTGTGTGGAAGACGTTACGTTTGAGGATCTAGTGAACGCTCTCAACAGCCATTTCAATCCGAAACAGAGTACGTATGCTGATCGAGCTAAGTTTTACGAGGCGAGGCGAATCCCTGGAGAGTGTCGAAGATTAGTCGGCACGTCTCAGAGGGCTCGCAATACGTTGCGATTTTGGTACAGCGCGTGATCAACTTTTGACGGACAAGTTCGTGTCGTTCGGATGAACGCCTGGAACGGCTGGAACGTGAGAAGCTATTCGAGCAAGACCCGGCGAAGTTAAAATGTAGTGGCGCTTTGCTAGTTGCGCAGAAAGCGGCGTACGCGCTACAGGCGCAACAGGTGCCTGTGAAGCAAGAGCCGGTGTACAGGGTGACAGGTCAGCCGGCCGCCCGCGCCGGCTGTGACATTGACGGCGTCAATCGGTGTGTGGTTTGAAGAGCCACGTGGCCGAAAACTGTAGATATAAGGGCTATCGCTGTCGTATGTGTGGTGAAAAAGAGCATTTGCCTATAGTGTGCAAAAAGAAAAGTTCAGTGCGAGTTAATAATATTAACACGGAAGAGGGTACATCGTCACAAGGTGACTGTATCCAAGAAAAGGACTGCAAGGAATGTGAGATGTTCAACATGAGGTTTGTTAATCATGATCCTATTCAAATCAGTGTGATGGTCAATAACATACAGTTAAAAATGGAAATAGATTCTGGGCACTACTGTCATATCCGGTAAACTGTACATACAAATAAATATTTATTTTTCATAAATAAATCTAAATGAAGGTGATCTTAGAATGTGCTTGTATAACGATCACAAAATCACACCATTAGGATTTTTTACTGCAGATTTTACATATAACAACAAATCAAAGAAATTAAAAGTGTATGTAGTAGAAAAAGGAGGGCCACCATTGCGTGGTCGTGATTTTATGACTGAATTTAAAGTGTATTGCGCATCGGAAAATAATAGTATAAACTTAGACAAAACTCCGAGTGAAGTACAGCAATTATTATTGCATTACACTGATTTATTTGAAAGTGGTCTTGGACGATCCAACAAGTTTAAAGTGGAAATTAAACTGAAGGAAGGAGCTCAACCTAAATTTTTTAAGCCTCGTTCGATTCCATTCGCATTAAAGGAACGAATAGAACAAGAAATCGAGCTGTTGGTAGGTTTAGGTATACTTATTCCCGTGAATCATTCTAATTATGCCACACCAATTGTCACTGTCCTAAAGGACAATGGAAAGGTACGATTGGCAGGAGATTATTCAATAACACTAAATAAAGATATGTTGATAGATAAGTACCCATTTCCACGGGTAGAGGAAGTACTTGCTAAATTAGGAGGGGGAGAATCTTATAGTAAGTTAGATTTGAGTAATGCGTATAACCAATTTGAATTGACTGAATCGTCACAAGAGCTAACCACAATTAATACGTGCAAGGGACTGTTCAAATATACGCGATTGTTATACGGTCTAGCCAATGCACCAGCAATTTTTAAGCGGTCAATGGAAACGCTTTTAGCTGGGATTGACGGGGTTGCATGTTGGCTCGACGATGTCTGCGTGACTGATCCTACTAGAGAAATTCATTTGACGAGATTGAACGAAGTTATGAGAGTGAAGCGAGAATTAGCGTCCGAGCGAGTATTGACACATTTTGATCCGACGGCACTGTTGATCTTGTCGGTAGATCCGGAAGGGCTCGGCGCGGTGCTCACTCAAAGAGATGCGGACGGTGTCGAACGACCGCTGGCCTATACTTCAAGGTCGCTTTCGAATAGCGAAAAGAATTATAGTCAGATACAGCGAGAAGCAACACCTATAATATTCGGTGTAAAAATACCATCAGTACTTATATGGCCGCCAAGAGCCTTTCATTTTACGCACCGACCATCGCCCACTAATAACGATTTTCGGAAATAAAGCAGGCATTTCAGTAATGGCAGCATCTAGATTGCAAAGATATGCTATTATTTTATCAGCATATAATTATTCAGAACAATTTATTCGCGGTGAAAATAATATAGTAGCCGACTATTTTTCCCGGGCCCCGGTGAGTGACGAAAATAACTTAGAAGGCGAAATTTTTTTTACAAATTTAAAGTTTTTAGATGCAAATGTATTGCCGAATACATTTAAAGATATACAAAGTGCGACGGCAAACGACAAAATTCTTAATACTGTAAGTAAATATATGAGTCACGGTTGGCCACGAAAAATTCATTGCAAATCGATTGCACCGTACTACCATTGCAAACTCGATTTAGAAGTCTATGACGGCTGTCTATTTAGAGGCCACAGGGTTGTGATTCCAACTCTTTACCGCGATCGTATGCTACAGGAACTACATTGTGGTCATCCAGGTATAGTGAAATCAAAATATAATGCGCGTGAGCGTGTGTGGTGGCCGGGTACAGACAGCGATATTGAGCGCCGGATAGGATCATGTGTGCAATGTGTCAAAACTCGTAGCGCCTGCACATCGATTACATGGCTATAGCTCAACGAGACTATATTGTAATTGTAGGCGCACATAGTAAAGGGCTCGAATGTTTACAGATGAATTGCGGAACCTCCACTCGGTGTTTGATATCAAAATTATATTTATTTTCACGATTTGGTTTGCCGAACACTGTTGTATCAGACAACGATATAAAAATAAACTCAGTAGAATTTAACGAATTTTGCTCACTAAATGGTATAAACTATGTAAAATCGCCCATTTTTTTGTCATCCTTGTAGCAATGGTCAGGCCGAAAACTCGGTCAAAACCTGTAAAATAATGTTAAAATGTATTTTAAATAAACAAACAAGATGGAATGAAATCGATCAGAAGTTAATGGGTTTTTTGTTTCAGTATAGAAACACTGTTCATTGTTCCACAGGCGTGAATCCAGCAAAATTTATGCTAGGACGTAATTTACGCTCTAGATTAGATTTAATATCGCCAAAATTGAAAAAAGGGGACATGACTAACAGTGGAAGCAATATAAAATTACATAAAAATAGGCAATTGGTCGTAGGAGAAAATGTATGGTTGCGATGGTATGTAGCAAGGAAGACAGTATGGACATTAGGCCCAATTGTAAAGAAATTAGGGACCAGGATGTTCGAAATTTTTGTTCATGACTATTCTGTTACTTGTAATCGACATGTAGATCAATTATTAAAATATAGAGATAAGTACTTCGACCGATGTAAATTTGTCAGTAGTGGAGGGTGACGATCAACAGAGTGCCCAAGCAGGACCTACGCAATCACCATTCTCAGCTGCACCGTTTCCACCACTTGCTGCTTCGACCACATCACCAGTTGATATTCCATCAGAAAATACTACTCTAAACGAAACCATAAATGATTACAATCAGCTGTCTGAGGAGGAGCGGCAGGAGGCAGAAGATAATGTAGATATTAGAGAAGGACGAGAGAGTGTGAGGTCTCAGCAGACGGAGACTGAGCAAGCTATTGTAAGTACCAATAATCCAGCTGAGCATAATGCTAAAAATGCACCAGATAGCTGTCAGCTGAGACCTGGGACAAATATGTTGATTATAAACAGTATTTTTAATAGGACATTTTGTATTGTTAACAGGTTCCCAAATTAAAGGGGAAGGAAATGGTATGTTTACGCATGTTGCAAATGTACCTACCTATATCTATAACTACCTGCTATATTGGAGTGAATTAACTTTGTAAAAAGTAACCAGTATTAAACGAGCCTCTAATCGCAACGGTTGTTTCCTTTAAACATAGCACTGACGCATAAGCTCGCCATGACCACCAACTTTCATGGATGGATAACTATTGCAGGCAGTGTAGTAAATTTTATGTGCATTTACAGAACAATTTGTAAGCACATAATAGAGTTAGAAATAGATTTGTTGTATAATGATCATGTTGACAGCCACTATATAGATCTTATGTTACTAAATCATAGATTATGACATGTCATTAACTACTTTAAATATTTATGGAAACATAAATTTTAATTCTCTCGGGTAATAAAAATTTCACTGAGTATGAACAATCGCTAAATGTATAAAAAGTTTCGACAAAGAAAACTATATACTTCATGTTATGTTTTCATAAAGGGATAAGTATTATTATCTTATCTTATTCATTTTACACATAAAGTGTTATATCGTGTGATCTGTTAATCATTCTCAAACAGTTATTTGAGAATTTTATAGTAGGTATCTGAATTACATTTTTATCATAATGTAAATAATGTTTTGGTATAAAGATTTTTTATAATAGGTATATAATAATTAAGTAGGTAGAAGTAAATAAAACTAATGTTTTCTTACATTTTCGTCAGCAGGTACTACATCCATGTGTGAGTTGAGCATAATGCTGCCCAACGTAGAGTTTAAACCAGGCCACTTAATCACTATGACGGGGTACTCGGCCGTGAACCTATACACATTGGTATTCAGCCCCTGCTTCGTCGCCAGCCTTTGCCAGAAATTTATGGCTGGTGCTACCAGAAACAAAAAAATAAGTTTGTCTATATAATACATCGAGTATATAACCAGAAATAGAGACGAAATAAGGGCCATCGATCCCTGGCACTTCATCAGATATTTACTGATTTATATCACTTGTAAATAATAACTCTCGTTCGCACTGAAATCACAAATTGGAAAACTGAAATAGTACAGCGCCAACGACTGACTTGTGTGTAGGTACATCTCCGTATATTCCAAAAATGTTCTATATTTATTGAAATAAAGATAATATCAATATCAAGGGGGGCTGTTCCATTCGGTGGTGTGGGAAGAACAGCAAAACATCTAATTACAAAACAAACGGAATCACGTTTCATTGGTGATTAAATGTACAATTATGTAATTTTTCAATTTTCTTCCATTATAGCAAAGCTCAAGTTAAACTGGTCAATTTGAATTGAAATAATTTTGACGACACTCGTCAATTGTTTCGAATTCAGGCTGGCCAATCTGAGCGCAGTTGTCACAGTAATGATTTGGCAGAACAGTTTTCAAACCAATTAAATGACATTTCGTCTCCATTTCTGGTTAATTAATCGATGATATAATATAATATATGCTTCCTACACAAACGCAGCATTCATTATAAAGATGAACAAGACTAAGATCAATTCAAAGCATGATGAACAAGCATCAATAGATAGATAGATAGATATACACTTCATTAGTCACACACAGGAACAAAAACAGTACATAGACAGCTTAAAACTAATGTGGGCAACGGTGGCCTTATCGCTAAGAGCGATCTCTTCCAGACAACCTTTGAGAGAGAGAGAGAGATATATATACTAGCAATTTGCATTCCGCAGAGCGGGATATGTAGGGTGTCAATAGCAAAATTTGAATTGTATAGAAAAACATTATATTTATCAAATAATAAATAACGATATAGTATATCTTCACATATATTAGTATACAAAATATACCTAAATAAACTCAAATAAATAATACCGAACTGGGAGACGAAATACTTTCACAGAGTTCTCATAGATGGCGCTACCGCTAAAAAATCGTTGAAAAACCAAATACAAAGATCCAAAAAACAAGCACATAGAGTTCGTTCCGTGGCTTAGTTGGCATAGCGTCTGTCACGGTTTGGTAGAACACGTCGGTTCGAATCCGGCCGGATCGAAGGAATTTTTTCTAAGTATTCAATCTTTGTATTAATAATTATAACTAGCGGAGTAATTTCACAAAAAACAACTGAATATCAATTAAATACAAATTTAAATACCTAAATAAACTTAAACAATATTGTACCTACTCGTTAATAATAAAATAAGAATAAAATTGATAATAAATAAACTGGTTTTTACAACAGAATGCTATCTGTCCAGGATTCTAATTTTAATAAACTATCTTGCATCTCAGTCTCCATCACAGAAATAACATTCTCTGAATCAAAACCGTCTTTTTCTTTTCGTATCAATGGCATACACTATAATGCATGTCATGGCGGTGAAAGGATTTGCCAATCAGCTTAAAGTCGATTGTTGCCTGTACAATAAAAAGATTTTGCATACAAAATTAATAAAATTTACTTTTTTTGTTAATGCTAACGGACTTAGTTATTAAATTTAACCAACTTCTGCTCTCCCGGGTTTTTTCTTCCATTACAATGAAACAATTTACTAGCTAATTTTCAAATATGAAAATGATAGAACAACAACATATCAAAAATAGTATTGCCTAATGTCGTAACTGAAATATACATTCAATTTTATTAATAGTTTAGAGATCACGCTTTAATGTACTGTAGGTTTGTTGTATTAGACAGGAAGGTCGTTTCGAAAAGACGCCCTATAATATCTTTTTCCATGCTCACCGCGTTGTGCTGAATACAATTTTGTAATATTCGTTGTCGTGATTCGCATTAATGTTAGATAAGCCATATACTATTATTTTTTTCTACAAAGACATCGAACGTAAATTAAAAAATAGTTTATTTTAAATTTATTTCGTAATGTAAATAAAAAAATCGTTATTGAAAATGGAGACATAAATCTATCTATACCTTCCTTCTTTTACGATAGAAATCACAAACACGTTGCAAAAATATTATCGCTACAGGGTTTTTTGGATCACATAACAGCTAGGATATGATGATAGACTCTTGTAGAGAAAATGATAGACTCGTGTATACATATCCTAGTAAATATGATTGGTATTATAATGCTATCTTCGGTATATAATTTTGATTCATGGTTAAAGTATAATTAATCAATTTGCAGTATTACCTACCGGACAACTTTCAAAAATCGCTCGAAGACCTCGTATCCAAGATTAAAGTGCTCAAGATCTGCTACATAAATGATCATGTATTCACACGTTACTTTGTACCTCTGAGTAGCGATGAGCGATTTTGAACGTTACTAATACACGTAGTTACTATTAAGTAATCTGTGCTAATACTAATCATTCGAATGGGCAAGTCATTCGCCTAAGTCGAATCCAAGTACAATCATTCGACCCATGTCAAATGATTGCCGATACCGAATGCCCTTGCTATTCGGTCGGGTGCACGAGTCGAATAATTATTATGGCAGAAGTATACCACCCTACGTCTATATCAAAATATCTCTGACCCCGTCATATTTACCATTATGTCAGAGAGATCTAGGTGATCACTAGTATCGTTATGCTATACGGAATCTATGGATTATTGATGAATGATCATTCCGATCATTCGAATACGAAAATTAGTAGGTTACTAATTTGTCATTCGAGTGACAGGATTTGTTTTGTTTTTTCATTACTTTTACATTAGTCGAATATCGAGAAAATTCGCAATCACACATCGCCGTCTCTGACCCGTATATCTATGTTAACGAGTTTGACGAAGTAATATTATAAGTAAAATTTAAAATCGAATTTCATTTATTTTATGAATAAAGAGTATTATTTATTATTGATTGAAGACATCATTTCTGTTTTTTAAACAAGATTTGCGTAGGGCTTAAGAAAACAAAAATAATATTGTATATTTTTTGTCTCAGCTGTGATAGTTAATACAAAACTTATATGCATTTAAAAGCATTTAATACTTCTCTATATATTAAAAATTAAATTAAATAAATCTCTATATATACTCACAATATATTATAAAAAAGTGAAAGGTGTATTTCAAAAAACAAAAAACTTACTTTTGATGCGTAACTGACCCAAATTTTTTTATGGAGTTATTCCATGGCATAAATTTTCGCATTTTTCATGAAATTTGGAATGATCCCTTCCTCTGACAGGTCGAAAAATAAGTATACCTTGCAGTAAAGTGAAGTGTTCGAGTCAAATTGGAACTTGTAACTTTAGAAATCTACGTTATTTTCCACACATTTTCGGCAAATATCTGTGCGATAGACTGAAGTAAACATTGAACGCAATAATTATTCCCTATCTCAGAAGCCACACTTGATGCCTGATTTGCAACCCATGTGTGTCAATATCAGTCGGACACTTACTAAAATCGTTGCCGGTGGTGGTATTAATCTGGATGTACTTTTGGAAAGTCTTCACAGCCGAGTTGTTAGCATAATCTTCGGCCGCGGCCGAGTAAACCAACGCCACGCAGAACAGTGACCACAACCACATTTTGATGTTCTGCAAGGAGTTAAAACTATGAGTTCCAATATTCAAAGATTATTTAATGCTAATATATTAAATGCTAATGTTCTGCATTCTTAAAATATTCTTCTATTCCCACTACATAACAACATAAACATACTTATAAAGTAGTTTATGTTAACAGTTCCTATGTATAACAGCATAATACAATAGTAGGTACTTCAGGATAATAGAAGTCTTACTCAGGTCTTGTAATAATTTTTGCGAGGAAATAAGTAGTTATAATTTCATATTTGTTAAATTTAATCAGATAAAAAAGAAACAACGTACTTCTTAAAATAACGCAAATTTAGAGAAATCTGTTTAAACGACAAGTTATACAATGTTGTGAATACTTACGTAGCTGTGAGAACACTGTGACTGTTTGATAACGTTTGCCAATTTATCAGAAAACAGATACAGACGACCAAAAGTCACCGCAACGAGATTCTCTTTTGCATTCACACTTATATAGTATACCATAGTAATAATTTTGTTACGTGCAACAAGTGTTTTTAGTAAGCTCAGTATATTACGGAGTTTATTATATTTCATAAATTTTATCGACAAAAAAGAAATCGCCACCGATTTTACATAGTTATTGTATTATCACAGTATTACAATATCTTCCCTTTTATCATAATCAATAAAAGTTCGACGAAACCTTGCGAGCACGTACAATTTTTGTTCGACATTGTCGTCCAAGCCAGTAGAATGGGGTGACGTGAGAAAAATATTTGAACAAATGGTTCTGTAATGAATTGGTCATGTTCTTCTTAAGCCATATATTTACATATAGACTTTTCCAGCAAAGACTCAATTGGTCGCACGCAATATGAGCTACAAGGTATATAAAGCCTGAAGTTTCGCACTCGTCATTGACAAATCATGTGAAAATATTTAATCTTCATCCCTACAAAATTCACAGGGGTTGCAGACAGGTAAAATATTTTAATTCATCAAGGCAAAGCTAGGTGTACTTATAATATTTGATTTCAAGATAATAGAAGTTGATGCAATTGAGAGTACGTTGAGTCAAGAACTAAAGCCGGTGATTCGCTGATAGTTGATGTCGCTAATAAAAAAACTTCCAATGGCAAAGTTTAGTTTTTGCGGAAAAAACTCAATGAGCAAAATTGTAAAATATAGGCGTGCGAAAATATCAATAATCGAAAAGCATCCTTGGCATTATAATAAAGTCACTATTTGACTCGAATATTGGTTCGGTAGCATCACTGGACCGTTTTATTTTTAAATCAAAACGCTGAACATTAACAGCGACCAGTTTGAACATATAAATATCACTAACATGTGATTTTAACAAAAAAGGCGCCGCTGTACAGCTACAGAAACAAGGGATTTATTGAAACAATATAATAATCGTGAATCTCTCAATTCAATGTCAACTTATTCATTTCATGGAGACATGTTACATCACTCGTTTAAACAGATATGCCGGCTGAAAAACAATATCAGTCCCGTCATCAAAGATATACTCGTAGAGTCGCAGTTGTGCGAAATAGTTGTCGAAAATATTAACTATCGGATTAATGCCATCTAAACAAATGTATAAATGGTACCGTAGCCTGGTATAAAGCCACATGTGATCATGCGTCAAAAATGTTTTAATCACACCAAAGTCACAAAAATAATAATTTTATAACTCTTCTGTTTAAGCATAAAAAAATTATGGCCTAATTTCGTCAATAGAATTTTCAAACTTCTCTTCTGAAAACTTGTAATTTTGCAGATATATTACACCACGGATTCGATATTGTGTTCCATTCTAATGCCACAAAATGTACTTTAGAATTTTTTCAAATTGTTCGTTTACATTACCCACTGAATGAGTTTTATTACGATCTAAAGATCACTGATATCTATTGTATAGCAGTAGACTTTTCTATAAAGTATTGAGCAAATTGAAATTCCCTAAGAAAAATAAACGAAAGAACGCTAAATCCCGAAAGTATTCGTAAAAATCATGGTAATTGTGGGTATTCATTTGGTAACAAGCGTGCAGTGAATCCGACGAGTTTCGCTCGCTTAGCAAACAAACGGTGGCTGCGAAAAAGTCCTTTTAAAAATGTTGCGGCACGTACGACTCAACGGCACCCATTACGACAAAGTGCCCAATGTTGGTTTAAAGATTTGAATTGCAAACGCGGAAACAGAGCTTTTCGAAGGAAAATGAATTAGTTAATGGCATCATTTGAATCCGAATTCGTAAAACCCATTCAAAAAAAAATACCAAGTAGAAATATAATACGAGCTCCGAGAATACCGTATTTTATGTGACACACCTTTGTATTGGACTTTAAGCATGAAAAACAGATTATCTTTTTTCCTGTTATGTAAGTTAAGTTTGAAATTGATAATATATACGGAATTTAAAATAATATTAAACGGATATCGATGTCTCACAATCATTGACCTACCACGAGGCAATGTTCACAATAAAGTTTCTGTCTTTCACGTGGCAACCCAACGCTTAGGTTGTAAACATAAGTGCAAGTATTTTTATTTTTTAATTTAATAGTTTTTTCGTGTTATTCTTGTAAAAACCCATTTCATTACTTAATAATATCTCTACAAAGTAAATTTGTATAGTTTGTAAGTGTATATACCGTGATTTAACACGTTTATTATGCTGCCTCGAAATGTTGGAACAACATACCACCACCTATTAGGAATGCCTCGTCGATTTTTACTTTTAAAAGACTACTCAGGGCTTACTTAATAAATGTTCAACAATATCAACATGGCTGTTGATGTGTCGGGGTCATCTATGTTCGTATTATATAAATTGTTATTGTATAGATTACTTTTTTATATTTTTTATTATTTTTGTCTTGTTTGGTTCTGTTTTTTGTATGTCAATTTTATTCAATTATTCACTATACCAATTTAATTTAAATTATATGTGACGTAATAATGTCTACTGTTAAAGTACACAACTGTCTACATTTATATTCATTTTGTGATATTATTTCTAACTAATATCACAAAATGACTAACTCTAATATTTATACATGTTTTATGAAATTAATTTCACATTTTAACGCATATATTATGTAAGTGGTAACGTCATTACTTCTTGTACTGTGTCAATAATCTGTTCGTTCTGACATATTTTGTGCGTTTTAAGGACATAATTGTCATCTGGCACGGCTACTATGTTCCGTGTCACGTGTGTTCTGTTGCCGGATCCGCTGCAAATCAGCGTCGTAGCACCATAAGTGAGACGACAATAAGCTGAGTGGGTCACGGTTTCCTTGGCAGCACAGCACACACGCGTTGTACTCTTCTATATATTTGTAGTTAGTACTATTTTTATTGTTATTATTACAAAATGCATGTGTACTGTGTTGTCGACTTAAGGAATAAATGTTTTCTATTCTATTTCTATGTTTTCTATTTGTGAATAAAGTGACGTGAAAGCCGTTACAACGTTACAACGTAGTTCAATTCATTTTAGAATAAATCGTTTTTCAAATTTAACACTATTAAAAATTTTACACAAATATTACCTTCAACAAATATATCCTGTTTATAAATAATAATTAATTATAAAAACATTAAAACCATGATTTACCATAGACAAAGTTGGTTAAATCTATGGCAGCTTACGTTGCATTTTTGAATGATGTCGAAGTCGCAGAGAAGGGTAGAACATCGAAACCGGTGCCAGCTCCTGCCGAGCTCTGACAGACAGCGTCTGAACCAGTGTTGGGCAAAATTTAATTGTTCTGACAATTAAAGATTGACAATTAATTAATTGTTAATTGCGGTTCTCGCAACTAACAATTGATCAATCGTTAGTCGCGTATATCTACAATTAATCAATTTCCAATCTTTTCAATGTTTGTGATTAACAATTAACAATTAAAACTGACAATTATGATAAATTTATAGGGCATATGGGGGTGAGTTAATTAACTGCCTCCGTGGCCGAACGGTTACCATACCGGACTGCCACGCAGAGGTCCCCGGGTTCGATTCCCGGGCCGGGAGAAATATTTGTATGGCCTACATTTATTTCTCTCGTGAGTTTGGGTGTAATTTGTGGTTGTCTATGTGTGTGTCCATGGCACCCGCGACACAGGGTTTCCCTAGTGCGGGGCTATGTTGAGTGTGTGCGTTATTATTATTATTATATTATTATTAGTTAGGGCGTGGGTTAGGGGGTGGGTTAGGATTTGGGTTGGGGGTCAGGGTTTGGGTTGGGGGTTAGGATTTGATTGGGGGGGTTAGGGTAAGGGTTGGGGGGGTTAGGGGTGAGTTAGGTGGTGGGTTAGGGTTTGAGTTGTGGGGGTTAGGGGTGAGTTAGGGGGTGGGTTAGGGGAGAGTTAGGGTCTGGTTTGGGTTTGGATTGGTGGCTTAGGGGTGAGTTAGGGGTGGATTAGGAGGCCTCCAACCGGCCCCCCAAATAAACTAACTAACCTAACCCACCCCTTACTCACCCCCCTTTTTTTTTTGACGGGTGGGAGATTTTTATGGATACCCCTGAGCCCAGGGAGACTCAGGGGTTATGTGGAGACTCTCCCTCCAGACTGGAGGGCCTTTTTTTTTTTTTTTTTGACGGGGGGGAAATCTTTATGGATACCACTGAGTCCAGGGAGACTCAGGGGTTATGTGGGGACTCTCCCTGAGACTGGAGGGCCTACCCCACTAAAACCCCCCCGGGTTTCCCTCTCGCCGGTTGAGTCGGCGCCGTGGGATCAGTGAACATTCACCACGACGCCGCCCGGCCGCCCTAGCTTATGCCAGGGCTCCCGCGCCAACGGAGGGGCGAGTCGTTTGTCCTCCGACCCGCCCCCCAGACGAGTGAAACCGTGCAATGCAGGCTCCGGAGTCCCTGTCCAGAGCCCGCTGGTCTCACTAGGGGATCAGGCGAGCAGCGAACTGCCTTCGCCTTCTCCCCGTACGTCTGCGCCGGAGCGGATGCGCGTCCGGCGCGTCTCTGCGCAAAAGGAGGCCACCGCCTCCCAGGACTCCTCGCTATCGAGCATGGCGGCAACCACGCTCGGCAGCGAGAGGTCCTGTCCCACAGTCCCCGTCAGAGTGCAGCGCTGCTCATCCCACCGGCTACACACCTCTAGGGTGTGCTGCGCGGTGTCATCCGCAGCGCCGCACTCGTGGCACGACGGGGACGGTTCCCTCCTCGCCACCTTGTGCAGGTAGTGACCGAAGCAGCCGTGCCCGGTCAGCACCTGCACAAGGTGGTACGACAGTGGCCCGTGGGACCGGTTTACCCACTCTACTAGGACAGGGCGGATCGCCTCTATGGTACGAGCGCCATAGGGGGGATCCGCCAAGCCCTCTTTCTACCGGTCCCGCATGCGCTGCGCCGCGAGGCGGCGCTCCCGCTCCACCTCTTGGGGAGCGGGTCGCTCGCCTCGGTCCCTCATTCCCCGCCGGTAGGTGCGGACCTCCGCCAGGACCTCGGCTTCGAGGTCCCACGGCGAAGTACCGGCGAGGACGCATGCGGCAGCGCAGGCCACCGTCATGTACGCCCTGCACATTCGCAGGGCGACCACCCTCTGGGGCCTCCTCAGCAGCGACTTCGTCGCCGCTGATAAAGCCCCACTCCAAATGGGAGCCCCGTATAAGGCCATACTCCGGGTCACCCATGGGGCTCCCGGCCTCCCGAGGTTGGGCAGGAGCCTGCCCAACGCCGATGCGGCGCCCACTATTCGGGGAGCAAGTTGCCGGAAATGCTCCCCGAAGTTCCATCGCCGGTCCAGGACAAGTCCCAGATATTTCATCTGGGCCTTGACCGGCACCGATACTCCTACGATGGAGATGTGGGTGCCTGCCGGCACCGCCCAACCTCTACCCCTCCCGCCGAAGATGGCCACATCCGTCTTCGGCACGGCGACCTCGAGCCCTAGCAGTTGTATTCGGCGGACCACCATGTCCGCCGCTACTGAGGCCCTTCGGGCCGCCTCCTGGAAGGTGGTCCCCCGGACGGCCACCAGCGTGTCATCGGCGTACGCGATGATCGCCGTCCGGGGGAGCAGCGCGCCCCTCAGCACCCAATCGTACCCCAGGTTAGACTGGAGGGCCTACCCCACTAAAACCCCCCCGGGATTCCCTCTCACCGGTTGAGTCGGCACCGTGGGATCAGTGAACATTCACCACGACGCCGTCCGGCCGCCCTAGCTTACGCCAGGGCTCCCGCGCCAACGGAGGGGCGAGTCGGTTGTCCTCCGACCCGCCCCCCCAGACGAGTGAGGCCGTGCAATGCAGGCTCCGGAGTCCCTGTCCAGAGCCCGCTGGTCTCACCCACCCCTTACTCACCCCTAACTCACTCCTAACCGGCCCCCCAACCGGTCCCCCAAACGGCCCCCAACCGGCCCGCCAACCGGCCCGCCAACCGGCCCGCCAACCGGCCC